GTGTTAATAAGTATAGACTAGTTTTACTGATGGCCTGTTGGTGTGCATAATCCATTTGTATTTGGGTAAACTTTAAAATTCTCTGTTAAGCGAGAATGTTCATTCAGAAGCCAGTGCACCATCTTTTATTTCTATTTTTTGGGGGTGGATTAGTTACCTCAGTCGGTTGGCTGAAACAATGGATGAAATTAGTACTTCTGTTATTGTTGTCACTACTATAATGTCTATTGTGTTTGTGTCACTCAATTTGTCATTTTGCTACATATGTTAAGCTATATTGGCCATAACAGAAAAAGAAATATAGACATCCACACACCACACAAGTTGCAGTGTAGGAACACGAACGAGGTCCTCTGCATTGGAAACAAAGACAAACAACTTTTTTGGCGTTGTCTTTTTGTCGGTGGAGTACAGGAATTGACATGGTCTGTAGAATATAAAAAAAGTAATCAGAAATTTCAAGCATTCTTGAATAGCAAGTAGCTCTCTCTTCTTTCTTTATTCTAAGTTTTTTTTTAATGCTTATCAAAAAAATTGTAAAATCTGAGAATTCTTCTCTAATTTTTTTTCTTGGGTGTTTATGAGGGGTTGACCCCAACCTGTGCACTGCCTATTTGTAAATACCTGAACCACCCTGAAACTAAGATGTTAAATAGACTTGTTGAGAGCCACAAAAAAAGCATCAGAAGAGTTGGGCAGTTTGGACGAGGTCTATCTGGCCTTGAACTGTTGCACACCTGTGCTTGTAATGGATAACGATCTTTATATATAACCAATGAAGCAATTATGGTGGTAATATCTAATATGTGTTGCTTAAGTTGTGACTCAATTACAGTGATTCAATTTTCTAAAATATCAACACTGGCATTATTTTCATGATGATCATATTAGAAGTGGGTATAACTATCAATTAAATGGCTTTGCCCTTAACTGGACAGCCATTTAAACTAGTTTGATGCAGCTATGTTCACATGTAATTTCCTGATTCTGACATTCTGTTACCCCAAAGCATTCTTTCAGATATGGTTTTGGTTAATAGTGCTGATGATTCTTCTGTTGGGTTGAGCAGTCGTGAGATGTTCAATAAATGGCAAGCTCAAAGATGGTGGTCTGAGAACTATGACAAGGTTATGGAATTATACAATGTTCAGAGGTTTGATCACCAGGCAGTACCGTTACAAACTCCATCAAGGTCCGTGGATGAGGTGAGTTCTCATTCACTAAGAGCTAGTAATATTTTGGAAATAATGATATCATGTATAGATGGTGTGGATTTGTCTTGTTTAAGAAGTGATTTCAATGGTGCTTGAGGAATGAATTAATGAATTGCACATTCATATTTTTGGTGAATGGTGTCATGTTATGGCTTGTTATAATTTCTAAAATCCTATGAAATAAGATTGTTCCTCCCCATTGTTTGTTATATATGAAATACATCCAATTGTTTGTTCAGATCATATAACCGAATACATTTTCATTACATGTGAATGATCACTGACAATTTATTTCATGTTCTAAGATCATTTTTTTTTCTTCCTTCTGATGACTTCATTCACGGATGCATTTTTGTTCTACAATCCTGTTCAAAGCATAATGCCATCATTTCATTTAAGATGATTGTAAGGATATATTTATATTTACTATTTGGTGTTGACACACATGCTCTTCCTTTTCAGAACTTAAAGATTGAATCTGCTGAGGACAGCCCTGTGACACCACCACTCAGCAAAGAGCACCTACCCCGCAACTTCCACTGCCCTACTGGGATGGGCTACTCTTCATCAGATTCATTCGACCACAACCCAATCCAATCCCTTCATTACCATGATGCAGGTGGTCTTGCTTCAACCCCAAAACTCTCCAGCATCAGTGGTGCAAAAACCGAGACATCATCAGTTGATGCTTCTGCAAGGACTAGCTACTCAAGAGAGGCAGATCACTCAGGGGAGCTGTCCATGAGCAATGCCAGTGATTTGGACACTGAATGGGTTGAACAGGATGAGCCAGGAGTCTACATCACTATCAGATCATTGCCAGGTGGCACTAGGGAGCTTAGACGTGTCCGATTCAGGTAAGTGAAATTCTATGGTGTGTTTTCTGAAGAAGAAATGAAACTGGTCATAGGTATATAGGTATCTTGTATTCTAATGAGTGTTAAACTAAGTGGTAAATTATGAAAGAACTTAACAAGAATGTCAACCGAAAAATACGGCTCACTGTGATTGACCTATTTTGGTACCTGCCACTTGTAACTGTGGCAGAAAGATTGTGATTGACTTGGGGGCAATCTTAAAGCACGTGATGATGAAATTTTCAATCACCAATATAAACAAATGGTAGAAATCTATCATAGCTTAACAGATTCTAGAATGTGGTCCTTCAAGATTCTAAGAATTGAAAGATATATTTAGTTCGATTTTATTTATTTATTTTAATTCTGCTTACTTGATGGTGACTCAAATTTACACAATGGTGGTAAACTTAAAACTCACGAATCTTTGTTTTGTTATCAATGATTTTCAATATTTTCAGTTGCTAATGAGTTGGCAATTTGGAATTTGAGCTTTGGGGTAATTGGAGTATAGGAAGAAATCAATCTCTTCAACTAAAGGCTGCAGTTTTATCTAGTCTATGGTTAGAAAGGCCCTTTTTTCTGACTATTAGGAGAGGATTCCATGGATTTGGATTGGTTCCTTGCAATCACTAGTAAACTTTTTGAACACCTATCAAGTTTTCAAACTTTTTGAACACCTATCAAGTTTTCAGTTTCTGTTTTTAACAAAAATAAAATAACAACTTGTTTTCTGTTTTTTGTTTGACAATGTTAACAAACGACCCCTTAGTGGTTTGTGTCGTGTTCTGGCTTGAGAAGCTGGTCCCCAACCTGTTACCACCTTAGGCGACGAAAGGGCCCTGGTTTATCTTCCCCCAGTATGGCCTGGTCTCGTGATTTCACACAACCTTGCACATAGCTGAAATGTTATTAATCTTTTTTTTTCCCATAGTAAATCAAAATTCCTGACCAATACATAATAAAAGACATCAGTTTGGATCATTCTGACTTAAAACATTATTAATGTTCTTTACAAATGCTTGTTGCAGCCGAGAAAGGTTTGGGGAAATGCACGCAAGATTATGGTGGGCTGAGAACCGAGCCAGGATACAAGAACAATACTTGTGATTTAGACAACTTATAAGGTGGTGATCTTCGAGATTGTGTTTCCTTCTCTAATTTAGGTGTTTTATCTTGACACACGGTTTTTCTCCCTCTTTTCTCTTTCCCCACTTTTTTTTTCATCTTAATCTCCTTTTTTTTTCAATTTTTTTTTTTTTTGGAGGAGGAAGAGCTGTTTAGGGGGTTGGATAATGTGAAATTGTTGGGTGCTTTTTATTGTAGTCAAGATAATTCAGATATTGCAATGATAAATCCATTTTCATAGTAATATATGCTATTCATTTGAGTTTACTACTTGAAAACAATGCTATTTGTTAGACTGATCATCTTAAAATAGATTTAGCTACTCTTTGAAAATAAATGCTATCTTCTTAATCTTGAGTTCATTTTCATAAGCAGCTTAATCACTTGTATTGTATGGCCTTGCCAGAAGATCTGGTATGAATTGTTTTATTTTATTTATTTAATTATTTAAACTACATGTGCTGCAATTTCAAGTCAGAATTTATCTGATCATTGCGATGATGATTATTTGTATGATTTATTATACTGCATACATATGTTGTTTGCTGCAATCAATTTATTTATTTATTTTAGAGAAGAAAATTAGATAGACTTTGACTTGACTGAATTAATCTAATTGAGCTCACATTGAGGACCACGAATTCAGGGTTAGATGGTGACAATTGGAAGGGCAATGTTTATGGTTGTTGGCATATTAAATTAAACCCACTTGGGTCTTTCTTCTTTAGGTTTTTTCTCTTTTTTTTTTTGGACCGGGAACCCAAGCCGGACTCAGGATTTCAACCTAGGAAGGATGCCGAGTTCTTTAGGATTTTGGATTGTCATAGTTGTTATGTTTTGTTGATATTTGTTGAACTTTTTTTCATAGTAAAAATGTTTATTTCAATGTAATTCTCATTATATTTAAAATTTATCTGTTTTTAAATTTTTAAAAAAAAATTATATGAATGCCACATAAGGAGATTGGGATGAGTTTTATTTGTTAACTTGGTTAATAAATTACAAAATAGAGAAATGCTTTACATATATTTTTTTATTGTTGCTATTTTTTATTAAGTTTACAGTAGATTTTATGATTAGAATAATGCTGGGACCCCCTTTTGGGGGTCACCCCTCATCCCCTTTGCCACGTGGCAGGGGGTGATTGGTGGAGCAGGAAAAAAAAGAAAAAGAAAAAGAAAAGGTGACCAATGAGAGAGAGAGGGGGTCAAAGGGGGTGGGGGAAAAGGGGGGATGAATCATTACTCTATTTTGAAATAATGAAAAATAGAATAAAAGATTAACATTTTGAGACAGAGCGATACTTTCAATTTCTACAACCCTAGTTAAGGGTGATAAACAAAATAAACAATTTGAGTTTGACTTGTATTTGATTCGTTAATAGTTTATTTGAGTTCAGCTTGTTAATAAACAAATTAATTTTTAATATATTTTAAAACTCATTAAAATTCACAGTCGTTTTAATATTTTTTTATGATTTTTATTTTTAAATTTTAACCTTCTATCTTTTAGCTTCGATTAAACTAAAAATCCATTAATTTTGGGCTTTTTAGGCAAATTAAGGTTTTTTTTTTTTTTTTTTGCATTAAATGATTTAATAATGTCTTAACAATTTAAAGATTTTATTTAATATTGCATGAAATTTAACAATTTTATTAAATAATGGTAAAATATGTTTGAGTTTTTGATAACATATATGCAAAACTTTAGAGGAAGTAAGTGAAATTTCTCATTTAAATAAATAACGTAATTAATGGGCAATTTATCATTTTTGGTGTGATATCAACAAATTCTGTTAAATAGCATAACAGTGGGAGAATTTTGATAATAGTTTCAAAAGTAAGGAGATAGTGTAATTATTAAAACCATACAGGAGGTCACTGTAATTATCAAAAACCTCAAGAAAGGTAAGTGTAATTTACCCTATTTTATTTATTCACTTTTCAAGGTTCAATTTGATTGATCACATCAAGTAACTAAGTTAAGATTCAAAATATTACAAAATATATCTCTATATCTAATCAATTAACAATTTATTGAATTATAATTAGCATAAAGATTCAATTTATTCAACTTATTTAAACAAGTGCATACAATGTATGGAGTATCGCGTGTCCATACTCTGAGAGTACTGAATAATCACCCTATATGTAGTAGAGTTACCTTTTAAAGAAATATTTATAATAATGTTATAGTAATCATATTTTCTTATTATATATTGTTTATTTTCTTATGTGTTAGTGTTATATTAGTATCAAATAAGAGTGGTTAATGTGATAACATTATTCTAGTTCCAAAAACAAAAAAAAATTAACATTATTGAAAAAATTTAATCCAATTCATGTTAAAAACAATATAGTTTACTTGTGAGTTCCTATAATTTATTTAACGGAATAAATTGCAAAACTTTATGTATCTAAGGATATTTTATAATAGATTAATTATATTAACATTACCTTAACCTTTATCTATAAATTCTTACATTTTCACCTCCTTAACCATAAAATTCATACAAATAATATTTAATTAATACTAGTCTCTTATAATTTTATTAGTCCATTTGGCATATTTAATAATGATTTAAGTTTCGTTGGGCATTGGCTAATATAGCCAACTTTTTTGGGTTGGGATTTTTTTAGCATGCCTTTTTTCGCCTCGTTTGGTTTGGATTTTTTGACTTTTGTAAGAGAAAAAGTATAATGATTATGGTTTGAATGTATCATTTTGTCTTATTAACTTATATAGCCTATTTTGGACTTTTGTGTTTTTTTTTTCCCCAAAATGAAAACCAAACGAGGGCTTAATCAAATGAAACTCCAACAGATCCATTCACGGTTTGGTAGATTTATCCTATATATCTTCTCTTTGGCGAAATGGTCTCTCCACCGGAGAAATCCTGGTTCCGCCCCTGCACACATGGATGGAGCTACCAAAGAGGTTGATCCATGCTTCAAGACCCCGTTTGTTTTCAAAGGTAGAATAGAGGAGATTTATAGTGAGGGGATTGATAGTGAAGAATTAAGTAGAATTGTGTTTGTTTTTGTGATAGTTGTTGGTGTAGGAATTGTTAAATTATTTTTATATAAAATAATAAAACAAATGAAAAAACTACAAAAAACATTAAACATTAATGTTCAAAAAAAAAAAATGCCCAGCATGTAATAAATAAAAATAAAAAAAAAATTCTAAAAAAAATAAAACAAATAAAACAATGATTTTTACTTAACAAAAAATACAAAAAAATTAAACATTAATGTTAAAAAAATGCCCAACATGTAAAAAATAAAAATAAAAATAGTCCGACGGACTATTTTTCTAATACTAAGTGCTGGAGGCCCATTCGAATCCCCTCTCCAAGGGGATTCATAATCCGGAGAAGATTACGAACCCTCTTTCTATCTCCCAAAACAAACATAAAGATAGTAAATCCCACCTCACTATCAATCTCAATCCCCTCTCTATAACCCCAAATAAATGGGGCACAAGATTTGAAGTACATGGTTCAGATGAAGAGGTTCTTCCAATATGTATATGTTGTGATGGTTATATAAACCTTCATAATTCATCAATCCCCTTGTGTGAGTGAAAATCTGACCACACTGCCCGCTTAGTGATCAACTGGAGAGCACAGGCAGAATAGATGGCTTCAGCAACCTGAAACAGAAAGAAAAGACTCTGGTGGTGGTTCTTCCACCCGGGGGCACTCCGACGATCAAGTCAGTATATCTCTCAAAGATAATCAAGTGCAAAACTTAATACTCAAAACATAAATTGCATACCTTAGACCCACGGGGGTGACTCTCTTTTATAATATATTCAATCCAAGTCCTACTAGAAGTATGACTTCTATGAACTTCAATTTAGTGCTTACTTTGGACTCTTTAAGAGATAAAGATAAACTCCCTAAAAGCTTTATCCTTATCTTGGTTAAGTCCCATCTTCGTCTTAGGACTCTTGTCCTTTATTCGCTTATCTCGGATTCCGATATCTTCGGAGATAACCTCGGCTTCTCCGAGATCATCTCGGCCTAACTACCACGACACGTGGCACCTCGGCTGACACGTCGGCATCACCATGCCACGTGTTGGTATTCAGAAAATATATCCCCACAACTGCCCCCTAGGTTCTATTACCTCTGCACTCTAAGGTGATGGAACCTATACCGATATTTCGATATTCCTTTTCTGAGTAATGGCTCAAAAACTGTTTAGCCGAGATAATCCACTTCCAGCCGACGTATTCTCTTCGGAGAACAAGGTTTCGAACGTACTTTCCCACGCGCATGAGCTGTCATGCATATCTAACCGTTCCTTTCACGAGTTTTGTCTTCATTGGAGCGTGTCTGTGACGCGCCTGAAAGCTGTCTGTCATTCGTCTGCGCCGTCTGACGTGTGCGTTGCTCTAGGCGTAATAAATGCCCTATTTTTGCCGCCGTTTCACGTTTTTGACAAAACTTTTCCTTGCCTCTTTCTTTCTTCACTTTCTTCATTCTGATTTCTTGCTCTCTCTCTCTTCGAAAGCTCTTTTTTTCTTCGAATCTGCCATTACTTCAATCTTCTGAAACTGTCTTTAATCTTCCATTCTTGCGAAGCTTTCTTTGCTGTCACGACCGATTTCTGATCTCGGCGAATATTGTCCCGGCTTCATTTGTTCTGGTAAGATTCTGCTCCTTTCACTCTTAGCTCTCTTTATGTGCTTTCGTTTGCCTGTTGCTATTATCGCTTTTGTCCAAAGCCTTGGATTTGTTTGTATCTTGAATCGTGGCTACGTCTTGAACACTTGCACTATTTCACCACTTTTCTTGCCACTGTTCTTGATTTTTTTACTTCTGTATTTCTTTTGTTTCTAAGAACTATACCTCTGTTCTTGAATCTGAAACTATGTCTCTGTTTTCTATTTTTCGTATCTGTCCCAGATCTGTGCCTTCGATCTTGATCTTTATAGTTCTTAGGCTTGGGATTTGTGTGTAGAACCTTTAAGTTTTAGGGAAAACTGAAACAAGCCTTATCAGTCCTTTCCTAGGTCTTTGCCGAGGTTCTTGCAACCCTTCTTTAAACGCCCATCTTCTGAAACACATTCTTCTTTTGTTTAAGTCGACATAATGGGTATGTGGAGGCATAGGGTAAATACCCCAACAAAACTCGAATACTTTAGGCAGGAATTCTCTATCCCAGCCGATGTTCACCTTAAGCTAGCTGGGGATGGTGATACCATCATGCCCACAGACCATACGATGCCCTTTCCTATAGTAGCCTTTACTGAATGTG